TAGGAAAAAATAACTTCCTTTTTGCATGGACACACTACCTAATTTGGTTGTTTAGATAGTGATAGCATCATTATTAATCAATGTCGTACCTGATATATATTAACTTAAACATTTGTTTCTGGCTCTATCAAAAGGAAAAAGGAACGGAAGTTAAAAAAATCAGGCAATCAATTTGTACGGCATGTCTTTACTCGTATTTATTTACTACTTAAAATGTTATAAAAATGTAATGTAGATTTTATGAAATAGAAAGGAAAAAATAGCCAGTCTACAGATAAGTATATTCATAAATTGCCAAATACATGTCCAAATGGTGTACTGAGGAAAGATCCTTAGCTAATGCAAATTTTCAGTAAAAGCAATAATCTGCCCTGAACAAATAACCTGTACTTTAGAATCTAGACAAATTGTAAATATAAATTCATCCTGGCATAATGAACTCCTATTCAACCTATCTCTGGGAAACTTTATGCGGTGGTAACTAATTCCTACTCATCTTTTTTCCTGGTGATTATGGTCACTGCAGTACCAATTGACTCTTCTTTTACTTTGGAAAAAGATAACACCTTTCTGCACCAAAGAGCAAGGTGCAGAGATCATAGTCGGTTAGGCAGACACAACCTAATTACTGGGAAGTTAAACCCCCTATTATTTGCCCTGCTATCACACTGAAAATGGTAATTCTCATTTTAGCAGTCTTCCATAGCTTATCTATCTGCTTTGTAACAGATATGTTACATTAGCTTGGCTTGGCCTTTTCAAAAGTTAATAATCTCCTAAATCTCTCTTCAAGACTGACAGTAGGACCCATGTAACAGGGGTTTTTAATACCTGGTTAATTTACTTCCCTTGAAAGTGTTAAGCCACTGTAAGTCTTTTATGCTTTCAATACTTTTGAAAGACTGCCACAGCAGAGCTGAGAAAGGAATTCAGTTTTCCTGAGCTTGTGGCCCATGGGTATCACCTGAAGGCCACCTCTCCTTTTTTATCTTCAGGCTTTGAAGTATAAACACTCATGCACACAGACAGTGAGGTTTTGAATGCTGGCAGAGCTAAAGATTTAATGCAGGTGGAAACAACCCAAAGTCTGCTCTTGTGACAAACTGGGTATGAAATCTTGAGCTACTGCAAGAAATGATCTAGTGGATCATGACACGCTTCCCTAACCATTTGTCCTAGGGATTTAGGAGTAGTGTAAATCACTGCATAATCTCAATGCTTATGAAATATTTGAGATAAGGAACTACAGTCTGCATTTTGTAAACACTGAAGTGAAGCAGAGAGAAGATAAGTGATTTGCCCAGAGTTTGACAGAATCTGTATTTTAACTGGATAAGAGAGACAAAATAATCTGTACAAATATCCTATTAGATACACAAGTGAGTAGAATTTCTCATCCTCCTCTACTAAAAACCAGCCATAAACTACTTGGGAATTATAGGCACAAACTATTATTTTCATTTCATTCCCTTTGGTAATTTTCAAGTGAAAACATCACAAAATAGGTAGTTTGGGGATTGTGTGATATGTTCATGATTCTCCTAATGCTTACATTACAAAACTTCCCAAGGTTCAATGAACACTTTGCTACTTTTCTTAGTCAGCTGGTTAATTTGAGACATTTTACATAATCTGACCTTTTCAGCAAATGCCAGCGAGTAAAGTTTTTGCCTCCTTGTTATATCTGCTTCATGTGATTTTTGCTGGAAAGCTATACTAACAAGCAATTTATATGATACTGTCCAAGCTGTCTCTCATTGCTATCTCCATCTGATATTTGGCATGCTCCATCTTGCTGCCTGCCTGATGACAGGGTTCTCAAAAGCTTTCAAAGGTGCTATGGGAAAGGCTTTAAAATGTATTTGCTTCTGTTAAAGAGAAAGATCAAGTGATGTAGAATACTTTTTAACTGATAAAAGGTTTAGTGCCTGACTTTACAGCTGAAGACTTCATGAGAAAACATATTCAAAAATCTTCTTGTTGCTGTTTTAAATCTAACTTTAAGCATGTTTTCTTATTATCTATATCTAGGTTCTACTCTATAACAAATATTAACCAGTCAATAGAAAGCACCCTTTCTTCTGGTTGGAAAAGGTAATTTAGTAGGTTTTCTTAGTCTTCCAGCTGCTCAGTTCCCTGAAATACATGAAAATATGATCCTTCACAGTATGTAGTCTCTGTGGCTTTTGTGCCCTGCTTTTTCCCAGGCTTTTCCTGGACAGTGAGAATGATCTTTCTCTCAGATGGCTGCTGTGCCAGTTCCATTACCTGTTCTCAGTGAACTGTAGCATTTGACAAAGTCGCACCTATTCTTCAGGTATGCCTGTCTCCCAGGAGGAAAAACATAACGTTATTCTTACTTTTCTACATATTTTTCAGGTCTAGATATTCTCTGCTAAAGAGAAAAAGCTTTACAAATAATAAAAAAAATTACAAATAAAAATATTTTACAAATTAAGAAAAGCTTTACAAAGAAATGAAAAATAGATGTAGAACATCTGTCTTTTTTCGTAGAAATCTTACATAGTCATCAAGGATATTTGTCCTTATCAGGATGCTCCTTGACAAGTGCAGACGAATGGAATCATGGTAAAATAAAACCACTCTCATGCAGATATGTGGTACACATGAAGTCCAAAGCTGTATGAATGAGTCTTTGGCTCTGAAATGAGTCTGTGACTCTGTGTTAAAAATTTGTGTGAAGGCCCTTAATCTGCTAAGCAAATTCCCGTGGTGTTCTAAGAAGCATGTGATTTAATCTTGCTAGGATTAGGTAGACTGCATGCATTGTATTTGTTGAAGATCATATTTGTTTCTCAGTCTTTGCCACTGATTTTAAGAAACCTGAGGAAATTAAAATGTTACACTTATTTTTTTCTGTACACAGTACCTATTTATTTAGCAGTATTTCTGCAACCTTCTGCTTTGGATTTATATGTATTTATAAAAGTTCTTATCTCAACCCATGAGTTTTCTGACTTTCATGCTTCCAATTCTCTCCCCTATCCTGCTGGGGTGGGGGGGGGTGAGCAAACAGCTGTGTGGTGCTTAGTTGCTGGCTGGAGTTAAACCACAACACATCCAAAGGAGAGAAAGCCATATGAGAGTCACTGTCAGAAAGAACTGGCCAAGGGGAAAGGCCTGTCTGGAGCTACCTGGGGCAATGTGCAAGTCCTAAAGTATTAAGGTGATTGCCAAACTCATGCATCTGAGGAGCAAGGCTTCTAATAGCTCACTGTGAGTTAGTGCCTGGATGTTTACGAAGCAGATGAATTACATTACAATTTCCCTGTGGAAGGTAAAAAACCCAGAGACACAGTGGAGTTTAGCATTGGATAAGAGAAGGTCCTGTTACACTGCTCCTACCTTTTCTTGCAGTAAACATAGGAAGCAGGGCTGTGATAGCATCTTAATACTTGTTGCTCCACCATATGAAGCAATACTGACTTACTTTGTACTTGCTTCTTGTAACCAGAACCACAACTCATGCCATGATTATCACATGATGTCTTCATAACCTCTTAGCAAAAGCAATAAATGGCCTCTCCTCAGGACCTTTACCACAGGAATAGTCTGATTTAAAAACCACTAGCTTAGTAACACCCTCCTAATTAACAGTAAACAGGAGCCCTGCTGTGAATAACTATTGATGGCCAGAAAGCAAATAAAAAGGAAATTAATTCTCTTCAGTCATAAAATCATAGGATGGTTGAGGTTGGAAAGGACCTCTAGAGGTCATCTGGGCCAACCCCCGTGCTCAAGCAGGGCCACCTAAAGCCAGTTGCTCAGGACTGTATCCAGATGGCTTTTTAATATCTCCAAAGATGGAGACTCCACAACCTCTCTGGGCAGCCTATGGCAGTGCTTGGTCACCCTCACAGTAAAAAAAAGTGTTTCCTGATGTTCAGGGGGAACCACCTGTGTTTGGGTTTGTGCTCATTACCTCTGGTCCTGTCACTGGGCACCACTGAAAAGAGCCTGGCTCCTTCCTCTTGGCACCCTCCCTTCAGGTATTTATATACATTGATGAGATCCCCCTGAGCCTTCTCTTCTCCAGGCTAAACAGTCCCAGCTCTCTCAGCCTTTCCTCATATGTGAGATGCACCAGTCCCTTAATCATCTTTGTGGCCCTTCTTTGGACTCTCCTCCAGTATGTCATGCCTCTCTTGTACTGAGGGGCCCAGAACTGGACGCAGGACTCCAGGTGTGGCCTCACCAATGCTGACTAGAGGGGAAGGATCACCTCCATTGACCTGCTGGCAATACTTTATCTAATGCAGCTCAGAATACCATTTGCCGCCTTTGCTGCAAGGGCACGTTGTTAGCTCACATTCAACTTGGCATCCACCCCGTGTCCTTCTCTGCCAAGCTGCTTTCCAGCTGGGTGGCCCCCAGCATATATTGGTGCATGGGCTTGTAGCTCCCCAGGTGCAGGACTTTGCACTTCTCCTTGTCGAACTTCATGAAGTTCCTGTCAGCTCATTTCCCTGTGGCCTTGTTAAGCCCAACCAAGATGGGGATATCCAAACAGCCTAAGTGACAGCACCAACACAATTACCATGCCAGCACCAGACAGGATGGCTTTTTCTGCTCTTTACTATATATGATTGCTTCATTTACTTTTTTTTTCCTGCTCAACATCTGGTCCAAGTATTCATCTCATGTAATGAATTAGCATAGTGGGATCAAGAATTGAGGAAATCATATTTAAGCCTGAAGGAGCCCACAGCCCCTTGTCCTTTCTATCATAGGTGGGGAACACAGAAGACATCCAGTTTCTACCCTATGTTCTCAGTACCCAAATCACATTTATTGGAACAAGCAGGTATTTCTCCCAGCTTTAGAAACACTTCACTTGTACAGTTCAGAGCCATATGACACAGACTAGCTTCCCTGAAGCAGCTGCTTTCTTAGACTTGTTTTCTAAAATCAGCCTGATGCCTTTTTTCCATTCTCAGGTACAGAGAGTAGCACTGTAATTGTAAGAAGGGGGCACTTACTCAGTATTGTGTGTATCAATGGTGTGAAAAAGTTCATGCAGTTCTTCTGCACTCAGAACTCCATCAGCAAAGTAAGCTTTGAATTCATCGAAGGACAGTTTTCCATCATCTGAAACAATGAAGAAATGGAAAGTGCCTTAGTTTCATGTATGGTTTTGCTTGTTTACTTCATGCAGTAGAACAGGAAACTACTAAAACCCTCTAGCTCTTCAGATTAAATGTAGAAACGTTACATATTTGATCAATACACAGAAATAACATAGAATCATAGAATCGTTAAGGTTGGAAAAGACACTTAAGATCATCGAGTCCAACCATTAACCTAGCACTGCCAAGTCCACCACTAAACCATGTCCTCGAGCACCACATCTATCCGTTCTTTAAATACCTCCAGGGATGGAGACTCAACCACTTCCCTGGGCAGCCTGTTCCAATGCTTGACCACCCTTTTGGTGAAGAAGTTTTCCCTAATATCCAACCTAAACTTCCCCTGGCGCAGCTTGAGGCCGTTTCCTCTTGTCCTCTCCTTGATTGAGACTCAAGTGCACAATTCAATAGCAGCAGGGATCTGACCCTGGCTCTCCTCTCTAGCTAAGGGCACTAATCAATACATTGCACTGGTTTGCAGCATTTTGATTCTCTCTTTCTTCATAAAATACACTTTTCTCAAAAAGCTCTATGCTTGGTGTGCAATTAAAAAAATAAATTAAAAAAAGTTTGACATTCATAGGAAGCCAGCTTTGTGTCCTCTTCTGCTGGAAAGAATTTCAGCTCATTTTCTTAGTCAGCATAGAAAATAATAAATTTCAATTTGCCAGCATGTAATTCATCTGGAGATTACACCAAAATATAGGAATAGGAAAATTGGTTTGGACATATAGCAGAGGTCAGTCAAAATGGTCAGATGGATTTTCAGATGGAGTTTGAATTGGCCATTTAATATACAGGCCATTTAATATACAATATAATTGGCCCAACTATGAAGAAGTTTAATTATGAAGAAGTTTAATTATGAAGAACTTAGTTTTCTAAGTATCTGCTCTTCTCATTCGTTTGGGACAAAACCAGTCATCGCCACATGGGTCTTGATCATCATCAATAACATGTTTCTGTAGTTAGGAAGTGTCTACAGGACTAATGGGACACAGAGGGTGGGGAAGTACCATATGATAACATTTAGAAGAACAGTAATGGGATGTACATTAATTCAAGAGGATAAAGTCCTTATTACAATCTCTGCTACGTTATTTGGTGGAGTCTTTCATCTGTTTCTTAAGTTAGCTTTAATTATAGCAAGCCCTTGACTACATCAGGCAAAATCCTTGAGATGAGATGTGTTAAGCAGATTAATTCTTCTGGTATTTTCAGGATGTTACCACTTCAGATTGAGGCTCTACCCTCCTTTTGTCAGATCAAACTTTGCACAACCATCAATACTTTCTAAAGGGTATTCCAATAACTACTACAGCGTTTCATTGAAGAAGGGATCGTACTTGTATCTCACCTCACTTATGCATGTCTGATAATCCCAGAGAAGCTGCTATACAGCAGATTTTCCATGCTTTTTTTTTTTTTTTTTAATTAGTGACATCAGAAATGGAGAAAATGTGCTGCAATTTGGACAGCCTCTCCTCTCCCACTCACAGGGTGGCCATGGCTGCAGTGACAGAAGTGGCAGACTTAGGCTATTATCTGTTTTGGAAAGTAGGACTCTGGGGTGCAAGGAGCATCACACTTTGTCCACTCTGGCTGCTAATCATATCACAATGACTATTTAAACAACATATGACAGTCAGAACAACTATTTTTTTCCTGAGTATATGATTCAAGGCTGAGGAGAAGGAATCAATTAAAGGAAGATATATATGAGAATTCTGCATGCTGAAATGATCTAGAGCCTGGATGGGGCTTTGAATGACATTGTATAGAAGGTGATGTGAGAAACCAACCAATGCTTGTCAGCAGGATGTTGAAAAAATGAAAGAGAGAAGTTTGCAAATGGAAATCTGATCCCACAGAAGTCCATGAGATTTCATCAGGGATCCCTCAGCAACAGCTGACATTTGCTTCTGTCCTGAAGGACAACTGTCCTCTTTTCTTTGCTGTACAGGTATGACTTCAGAAGTCCATGGGTCAGGATGAGGCAAATCTGTAACTTCATTAAAACAGTTAGGGCAATTTGTTCCTCATTGACTAGTGAGTTTTAAATGCAAGACTGATAATCAGCAAAGAAAAGCCAAAGAAAGAAGATCCACCGCTTTTATTTAGAAGAAGTGTGAATGGTTAAACAGTAGTTACGTAATAAATTATCTAAACTGATTGACTCTTTGCATGAAGCATAAAGAATATTTTCAAAGCCTAACACTTCATAACTGTGTTTTGGGTAGCACTAAATTTAAGTTTACATGTCTCTTTCTCTTCCTTCAGTAACATACTGAATCACTCATGGGGCACTAAACCACTGTAGAGGATAAGACTAAGATGTCCTAAGCACTAGACTATTTTACAACATATTGTGGCCTAATTTTATAGTGGTGAAGAATCTATTATACAGGCAGTATCTGAATCCTGTAACTACATGCTGTACTGCAGTATGCAGATTTGAAGAGTAGAGCTGAGGAGTTTCCTCACTCTTTCATAATTTCTTTGACTTGAATATGTGGTTTCAAATATGTAATCTTCAAGAGGTTTCAAAATTGTACAAATTAAATGTCTGCTTCAACAAAAACATTTTGAAATGTTTAATATGAAAAGACAGATTGTAGCTGGAGATAATCATCGTTACGATCAAAATAAAATGTCAAGATCTACAAGAGCTAAAAACCAAGATGGCACAATGCTGTGTTGAAGGTAGGCAATTCTCTTTGACAGAGCTGCCATGGTTACCTAATTGAGAATCTAAATACATCTGCCATTTGGCACTGGTTACGGAGAAGGAATATCAAATATTGACCGTGTCGAAATGAGCTGCTTTTCACAGCTATGCTTCCTTTGGCTCATACAGATACAATCAATTGTTTAATCAAACTGCCTCTGCAGCTTTAGCCTTTGCTAGGAAGGGTGGTTTGCATGCAAGTTATACTGAACATACTCAAGAAACTACTGATTTTTGGCAACTTCCCTGAGATAAACATATTATGAGTTTATTCATAGAACAGTCTGGGTAAGACACAAAACCTGAAACATCTGTCTGTTTATCTCTGTTCTTCAGGGTCATTGGCTTTACATCAATCCAGAAAATCAATGATCTGCCGACAGCCAGATTGGGCACTTTAGCTATTTTCTTTAAATTTTATCATCCAAGAGCAGACATTGCCTTTTGCTTCATTGCTATTTATTCTCAATAACATTTTGAATGTCATTGACGTTGACTGACACATCACTGAGCTTGTTGCTGGCAAAACCCAAGGAGGTTTCAACCTATTCGGTTACTTACAGACTTCATACAGTTATGTTCACTGAAAAAAGCTCTGATTCTCCATGGCATTCCTCTGATTTTGTATGAGGATAACTGTTTTGCTAGTGCAGCTGGGGATTCAGCTCCTGGTGGCCCAGGCCACCCCTGCACTTCCTCAGTGCTCAGATGAAGCTCAGATCCAACCCTTAACAAGTGCTCCTTGTGCTGTTTAATTGAAGACACGTTTGCCTAGCCAGGTTTTTTTTTCAAGTGTCAAGAATGGCTTTTATTTTAAAGGCTGCGTTACGCATCCTCAGCACCACCTCCCTGGGGCACACCTCGCTGCCCTCGGAGTGCCCAGATAAATACTGTCTGGTTTAAGTGCTTCAGAGCAGTTGAGCAGAAACCTCTGTTACAGATGCTTCAATCCTTGCCACTGGCAAAGCGACAGGGGATGGATGATTCATGAAAGACAAACTTCTCTGAAGCCATGCAGCCCTCAGACAAATGAACCTTCAGCAGCATTTGCCTTGGCAACGTTATCTCAAAGAAGCTGTTTTGCAAGCCTTGCTTGCTTTTGTGTATCTTCTCTGACATCTTTCACAAGCAGGATTTCTTCAAAAACAGGCACAGTTGCCTGTCCTCCTTGGAGCCAAAACACTCTTGACTGGCAGACAAAAATACAAACAATAAAATGAATGTCCCGATGTAGCACATGAAAGTTTAGAAATATATTTATGTGGTGTTTTAGGGGAGCCTTCCTTTGGGTTACAATTGCATTTTTATATTTATTTCAGTAAAATTCACCTCTCTATTGAATAGATGGTTTTATGTGTAAAATAGGCCCAAGTGATATCCCTCAGCCAGTCTGCTCCAGAAACACTAGTAATCTCCAGGACACATTCTGGATAACTTATAACTTCAATAGACAACGGTATATTTGACGGAAAGCCACACACATACTCTCTTTTTGAGTTGAAAGATGCCTTCAGTGAGTGAAAAGATATCAAGCAAATAATAAACAAGGGTATGTATGTATTTGGAGTCTAGGTGCCCAAAGACAATGGCAAATGGTGAGTGTGCAGCCAGTGAAGGAAGTTATGGTGGTGCAGAGGAGCAGAGATGTCTCTCAGAGATGCCAGCAAATGGTGGAGGGCAACAAAACAGCTTCCACTCCCACCTATTTCAGGCTTCTTGTTAGGACTGTGAGCCTTTCCTAGCAGTTAAATGTTCCTGTGGGATCCACGGAGGACCAGCAAAGCAGTCTTTCCATAGCATGAGCAACATCAGATGGAGCTCGTATGGCTGAATGGCAGCCCTAGGGCTTATGGCAATTGGAAGAGCCACATGGAAGAGCTTATGGCAATTAGAGGGAAAAACACCCACTGGGCTAAAGCTCATCCTGGGCTTCAGCTTGGCAGGATGGGATTTGGAAGGCAGAGCCCATGGCACTGTCCCGGCCCAACCAGACAGTGCCCAGCCTGCCTCCAGGCTGGCAATGTGCACACTGCCAGGGCAGTTGGTTTGTTTAGGGTCTGGGGCTCTATGAGAACAGTCCTCTGCCCTTGTAGGGCAAAAATTAGCAAAGGGAGAAGAGATAACAACAAGTGAAACCAATAAACAGAAAAATCCCCTGTGGCAGAAAGTATTTATTCCCCAGGAAGGTACAACAGGGACTAGGAAATGGCAGTGCTCAAAATGAAGCAGCCACT